GCACCCAATGGGAGAAAGAAGGGTCTGGGTAGAATGAAAATAACTTAGTAGACAAAGTCCCACAGGAGCCAATGATGTTCAACAGTTTGCTCTTCTAAAATCTTCTTTCCACTGTCACTGGGAAGCTGGGTCCCGATGCAGAGAGGAGCAGGCCCCTCACCGTGATGGTCCTCAGTTCTTCCTGCCCTTGAAAGAATTCAGTCAAACACACAGTGACCATGCAGGAGCACAGGCAGAAGTTGTAAAGTAGATACAGAGCTAAACCGTCAAGAGAGAAACCACACAGGGCCACCAAGGGATTCATTGAGAGTTTAGATATCTTTTTACGCACACAAAAATTATTCCTGGTGTTCAAGGAACTACGATGGTTATAATGCTTATCAACATTTCTCTTAGTGATTATTTTTGACAATCTGAAGGTACAGAAATAACAGGAAGACAAAGAACAAAAAGACCTCTAATGAGATACACACACTGAGAATGCAGGAGCTTGCTCAGTGGACTGAGGGTAGCTTATAAAGATGACCTTTTGGCGAGGGTTAGCTAACCAGTTAGTTAGCTGACAGTGATGGATTATTGCTACGTGTTAGTATGTGCAGGTTAGGGATTAGGAAATCCTTGGCACATACGGGAAGGAAAGACAGGAAGCCTATTTTGGGGTTTGTGGTACAGAGGAAGAAAACTGGTAAGGTGCCTTTCATGGTCTCCTCGCCATGTTGAACCCTGTCCATGAGGATGTGGCAGATTTATGTGGTTAACACTTATCAGAGGTTACTCTGGAATGTCGTCATCTTGAAGGTGACTTCACTATTCCATCTACATCGTCAGTGTTTCCTCAGAGGCCTTCACCATGTAAGAATTTAAATCAGTTCTCAGCCCTCGGTGGGAAGGTCTTTAAAGAAAGTTCCCCTTTCTGATATCGTTGAGTATGGACCATGATACCAGAGAACACAGAGTGCCTCGGCGTGAGAGAGGTGGCCAGGCTGCACACAATGTATGACCTAACAGGTCCTTGTGCTGCTCTGTGTGATCAATTTAGGTCTGAAACTACATTGAGAATACACTGAAGTCTTTGTTTCTGTAACTGGCAAAGATATTTCGCTATTTTGGACCCTTCCCTTGTCCATCAGGCCCTAATGTTTAATAGCATGCCTAATGACATGGCTTTCCAGGCCTGCTCTCCTCAGATGGCTTCTCATCAGTCCACCCAGGAGTGATCAGCGGAGCTCCAGCGGTGAGGCACGTTGCTAATGCAGGAATCCCGTTGCTAATAAAGCAATCCCAAAATGCTGGCTGAAACTCACTTCTTACAACATGTGGCTGTGAGGATGCTAAAGAAAACACTTGCCTAAGCATCTGGCCCCCAACACGGGAAAAGGGGTTGCTGCTTTTTTGTTGTGTTTTGAGGTGAGACAGAGGGGAAGCCCTGGGAGAGTTCTGCACGTTTGGTCAGGATCTGCCCTGCCCTTTAATATCCTCTCCACTTCCGGGGGGGGCGGGGGGAGGAAGGGGTCCAGGGCGGTTTGGGGAATCAAATCACGAGCGCCCCCTGGAGGTCGAAAGCTGAAGACAGGATGCTGGTCAGCACTACTGTACAGTGTGATCAGAAAAACAGGGTATTTTAAAACAATTACAGGGGCTGGGGATTTAGCTCAGTGGCATAAAGCGCCTGCCTTGCAAGCAGGCAGTCGTGAGTTCAATCCCTGGTACCGATAAAAACGAAAAAGACAAAAAAAAAAAAAAAAAAAAAAAACAATTACAGTAAAGTCTCGTTAAATCCCTGCAGAATACTCCCCCTCACTTTGACCACATTGCTCTTTCTGCTTTCTGATGCAGTTTCCGAAGTCCCCTTTCACGAGTGACTTTACCAGGTCTGCTAAAATACACAGTGAACGCTGCTGCAGTGTCATCCGATGGAAATGCAAGCTCCTCACAACATTCCACTGTGTCTTCATCCAAATTGTTCACCGGAAATGTGGCCTCCAGCTCTTCCTCCAAAGAAAAATGAAAAGTAAACGCTTCACATCAATTCAGGACACCAAGGTGGCCACCACAGCACAACTAAAGATCCTCGCCAAGGTGGACTTGTAGAACTGCTTCAGAAAATGGTAAGAATGATGGGGTAATACATTTAAATCGCAGAGGAGTATTTTAAGGAAAATTAATGGCCACATATCTTTCACTGTAATACTTTTTTAAAAAGTTGTGAACATTCGACCACACCTTCATCCTCAGATGAAGTGAAAGACTAGGAAGCTTCTTTGGCATGGCTCTGAGTCACTTCCTCCTGACATTCAGCTTCATCTTGACCAACAGACAATGTACAATGTGCTTCTTCAGAGAAGAGCAGCTCTGATTTTGCCGGGTCCGAGGGGGCCTCACCGCTCTCCCACAGAGGTGCAGAGTCTCTCTGCTCAGTGCACACTGAGAAGGACCTGCTGCTTGCTCTGTTCCCGCTGCTGGTGCCCAGGGAAGGTGTCCAGCTCCCAGTGGCACTGGGAAGCCCTTCCACCATCTCCCCTCTCCGTGATTTCCCTAAGATGTTCCCCGTTTACCAATACTTAGGGCCAGGAAAGCCGAAAACAACACCTCCCGGATCCTGTAGCCGCCTAGCTATTGCCAGCTCCTTTCTCTTTACAGCCAAGCTGCAGGGCCGGCTGCCTTCACTGCCTCAGCTTCCTTTGCTCCTTCCTGTCACCCCCACAGCCACACCCCCAATCCAGGCTGCTTTGGCCATGGTCACTTCTGTCCTGGCAGCTCTAAAGTGTGGGCAGCTCCCCCTGACTTGAAACACCTTTATCACGGTGGTGGGGGGGGCAAGGATACATATGTCAGCTTCTCTTCCTCCTCTCTGCCCACCCCACTGGATACCACCTTCCAGCCACTTGCTAAGACCATCCTCAGATGAGCTCTCCAGCACAGCAAGCCCAGCCTTCAGTCTCCAGCTGGGCTGGCCTCTCTCCCTCTCCCCTTCTAAGCCCTGCAAGGTCATCCTCGGGGGTCCCCCACACTGCTGGCCTGGGACTGTGTCCTTCCACTTGGCCCCTCCAAAATTCTACGAGCTGTCCTTTCTCTCACGATTCTAGACACGTAATATTGACAGTCAGAAAGCAAAACTCATAGGAAGGAAAGTCATAAGTCCATTGATTGTTGATCTTATTTCCAAATGAAGGTCTTAAGAGGATCCCAGTTTGCTGGCCCACTTATGCCCTGGTAAAATGTCAGCTTCTGGCGTTTCAAACAGGGACCCATCCCTGTGTCCTCAGTCCAGCAGCGCTGGCCTCTGCCCAGACTGAGGCCTAAGTGGTCCATGCCCTTGCTGTGGCCAGTGGAAAGAGTGTGCGTTTGGCACAACTGTCCCTGGAAATTGATGGAAAAACAAGGTGCTTCCAGGATAAAGAGGAACTGGGGGAATTTGCAAACACCAATTCAACCCTACAGAAAGCATTGCAGGATATTCTAAAAATAGAAAAATACAAAGAACCCAGAAATAGTGGCGGGGAGGCCACAACGAATGGAGCAGAGAACAAAATGAAGAAGACAAACTGACAGCTACTGACAGAAAAAGAGCTCAACAGAAATGAGACAGAGAAGACTGGATGATAGGAACAGCTATTTTAGAGAAAATGACATCTTAATAGGTAATACTGATTTAGTATCATCTTGTTTTGAAGTCTCATCTAGCTTTTGTTCTTCTGTCTCCAATGGTCTAAACAGGTTGTATCTTATTGGATTTTATTATGTACGATAGTATAAGCAAAAACCTTTTAAAGACAAGGAGATTATACAGAGACCATTGTTCATTTTCTGTTAGTGGATTCTAAATACTCTGTAATGCTGTCATTCTCTTAAATGGTTTTACATTGTTTTGATATACTTAATGCTACAGTATATGAAGTTGTACTCAAGGACTTCAAGGAAAGAGTCAATATGGTAACTACTTTTGGGTCGGAATTATCTGGTGGTGAAACACTATTCTGCTTAGATGGTTATGTTTTGATCTGCGCTGTTTCGCTGTTATGCCCTCTTTTATCTCAATCTCCACTCCATTATTTACTTTTTAATTTTTATCCGTTTAATTAAAGGGAAAAAATAGCAGGATATAATATAGTAACCCACTTTGACTTTCTATTATCTCGATTTGAAGCCCTGTATTACTCTCACCATCTTGTTTTTGACTGATGTCCCCCTATTCTGTTTTGCTGGATAGTATCAGGTTCAAAAGTTTAGGCATCAGCTGAGAAGATAATGAGATTCATTATAACGCCCATTCTCATTGATTTTTATCTACTTTTGAAGACCTACAATGTCTCCAATGTTTTGGTTTTGTCGGTTTTGTTCTTTACTGTTTTGTTCAAGTGTATTATAACTAATGATATAGGCAATTCTATTAGAGATAGCGGGAGGCATTATGGTAACCATTGTTGATCACCTTGTATTATGTTTTTATATTATCTATTATGTCCACCCTTTTGACTTGACTGATTCTGTTCTGTTATGTCTCATTTGGTTTTACTCTCTTCCAAAAAAGCAGTAAGAACCGTGGGAGCAATGAAACCCAAAACGTGTAATAGTCATTGTACAAAAGAGAGGAAAAGAAAATGCTCTAAACTATATAACTGCATGTATACTTAAGTGTATAAGATAGAAAATGATATCACAGAGTTTTATTGGACCATTGAACAGAACTGTTTGCAGTATTATTGTTGGAATGTCCACTCTACAAGCTTTAATTTTGTGACTTGAACAATTATTTCTAAGATGGCAATATGTAATCCATTAACTAATGACTTCCTACTGTTCATTTTTTTTCTTCTGTAAATCTGTATAACTTGTATCCTTTCACTGTTTTTTTTTTTTTTCCTTTTCTCCTTAAATGAAAATTTTTAAAATAAAAAAAAAAAAAAAAAAAAAAAAAACTGAGATTCTTTCATCCTGGGCGGCTCAGCTGCAGACAGAAGAAACTCAGGCCCCCAGCGTTATTTCTAGGAAACGAAACCGAAAGAGGCAAAGTTAACTTCCCCGAGCAGCCAGGCCGCCCAGTCGGGGGATGGCCGAGCCCGGGATGGCCGCGTCTCGGGCCTTCCCGTTGCTGGTCGAGGGATCCTGGGGCCGCGACCCTCCCAAGAATCTGAGCACCAAGCTGCAGTCCTATTTCCAGAGCCGCAAGCGCTCCGGAGGCGGCGGGGAGTGTGAGGTCCGCAGAGACCCCGAGAGCCTGGGGCGCTTCCTGGTGCTCTTCTCCGAGGACGGTGAGGGGCGCACGGCGAGGGCGAGCGGGGCGGGCTGGGGCGGCCACCCGCTCCTTCCCCGGGGGATCGGGGTCCTGGCCGCGGGTGCAGGTCCGCCCCGCCCAGCGGTGGCGTCCGAGGAGCTGGAGGTGAGGCAGAGCTGGAGCGCGCCCGCCCCGACGCGGCCGGTCCTCTGCGCGCTGCGCCCCTGCGCGGTCCGCTGGGCTGGGGAGCTGTGGCCAAAACAGCCAATGGATAGATAGTCCCTGTCCTTCCCACCGCTGCCCTCCCTCCCCGTTGCTGTTAGGGGGGACGCTAAGAAAAATGAGTACTCCTAGTAATTCCTCACGGGTCGCGGGATTCCCAGGGATTCTAGACTATGTCCAGGGTCACTTAGAGAGGGGCAGTGATGCTACCCAAAGGCACCTGGTCTAGGTGTAAATACAGGCGTGCTGTGGTCCGCGCGGGGACACACATCAACAGATCAACAACACACTTCGTTGGAGACTTCCTCCACCTCTGTTGTTTCCTCCTCCTCTCAGGGTGGCTGCAGAGTGACAGCTCGAATGGTGCTCAGAGGTGATGCTGGGTTGGAAAGTTTCCTTCTCTTGGGCTTGCAGGGCTGAGTTCTCCCAGCATGGCTTCCCAGCTGCGGTCCTACCTGGGAAGCAAGGCCCGGTCTCATGGCTTAGGATGCAGACAAGTCCTATGGGCCTCGCGGTGAAGGATTGGCCGAGAAGCTTTTGAGCCAGAGGAGAGGCAGGGAGGCCTAGAGAAACAGGCAGCTGGAATGGCCCAGCAGGGATCCAGCCTGGGGAAATGGGGCAGAAAGAGAAAGGCATACAGATGGGTGTGCAGGAAGTGAGTGTGGAAGAGGACAGAAGACCCTTGTTTATGAAAAACCAAGGATAGTCTCTGCCAAGGACTGCCTTCATGAGTGACTATCTGGAAGGCTGGCTGGGCAGCTGAGTCATTGTCCAGCCAGTCACCTGCTCAGTTGGATTCCAGCTGTCAACATCAGGAATCCCTTAGGGAATCCTTTTCTGAGGGTCCTGTCAGCCTCATCAATAGTGCTCTAATTGTGGGCCCTGACCTTCGTCTCAATTCCCAGAGGGCAGTGAGCAAGGGACCTGGGCAACTATTGGAGAGAGTCCCAAGATGAGTGTGGGTGGGTGGGAACCAGCCCCTCGGGTGACCTCGGTGCCTGAACTTGGAGAATCTCTGGGGCCTGCTAATAACACAAAATGAACGAAAATGGAAAATCATCATACAAATTTTCAGCAGGCTGAGTGTACAAGCAGCTTCCCTGTGAGGCTTTCTTCTTCAGAGCTGCAGGCTCCCTGCACCTCAGAGGGTCCAGTGGCCCCTTTTCCCTTACCCCTCAGCTAAGGAACTCAAAACCTCTGGGAGTGTTTATGGGCAAAGTTCTCAGGGTGGGGAAAATCATTTTTCAGTTTCAGTTTCCTTCTTGGGAACCACTTTCATAAGTATGGAGTCATCCAGAATTCTCTGACAATAAACATTCAGTCCTGGCATTCCTGCGGGGCAGGGTGTCCAGAGAGAGCGCACGGTTGCCCTCCACCCACCCTCCGTGGCAGGCAGTGGCCCTGCCAGGTGTAGGCCCGCGGTGAAACATGACCTCATGCCAGTGGCAGAAGAATAGAGACGAGGCACCAGTGCTCCTCTGCAGAGAGTGGCACACAGCAAATAGGAATGAGTAGGAAGTGATAATCCGGCTTTCATAGTTACATGATTTTGTTGAGAAAAGCTGGTTATTCCCCCAATTCCTGCTCCTCTTTCTTCTCCTCCTCTTCCTCCTTTTCCTTTTTCTGGGCTGGGGATGCCCTCAGGGCCTCATGCATGTTAGGCAAGTGCTCTCACACTGAGCTGTCTATACCATCAGCCCCGGACCTCATGTTTTCTTTATTTACTAATTTTTTTTGGTGGTACTGGGGGTCAAACCCTGTGCAGTCAAGGCAAGAACTCTACCACTGAGCCACATCCCCACCCCATGTTAAACCTTGTTTTGGGTGTATACATTTTGTCATACTTTCTGGTCATAATTGAGCTCCTGCTGATTGTCTCAGACACCTTGGGGTGAGGAAACCCATCTACTTAAATAAAATTAAACATAGATGATCTGAGGTTTATTGTAACCCAAGTATTGAATATAGTAAAAATCTGAGTATTATAATCCCTTCACCAGCCCTCACAATCCAGAAAGTTGTATTTGTAATCCCATTGAAATGTTACTGGAATCCCGGCAAGTTAATTCCAATCTACCACCTCAGTGTAACCCATAGTGAGAGTAGAGACACGGCGACATAGTCAAAGTTAAGGGCAGTCGGGAGTCCTAAGCCCAACCAGGTGAAGATGTGTGGACAAAGGCCTGGATCCAAGGCCCCTCCCAGAATTTATTATGTTGTGAAGAAGCAAGTGGCTCAAGGATCAGTGACAGTGAGGATGGTGGGTGACTTGAGCTGGCTGGCCAGGTGGGGAAAAATCATCTCTGCAAAATGCAGGGAGAGTGACGTGAACAAGGATCAACCTGCATAGTTCAATTAAGGTAGCATTTGAATTGTTTTAGGAGGCTGTTGCCTCAGTTTCTCATACGTTAACTTTTGCGGCTTACTGGTAACGCTTTCCTCACTTTGAATGAGGAAACAGATTCTAGAGAAGTTAAAGCATTGCCGTGAGTCACTTTGCTAGTTTGTGGCAGAGCTGAAGGTCGAATTAAGGTCTTCTTTTTTGTTGTTGTTGTTGTACTGGGAATCAAACTCATGACGTTGGGCCTGCCAGGCAGGCACTTGTGCCACTGAGCTAAACCTGTGGACTCGAATTCGGGTCTTTGGACTCTTTTGTCTGCTCTTCAGTTTGTTTACTGCTGCCATTCTCCTGATGTGCTAATTATTTTTGATTGTATATTTGCAAGTCTCACTCTTCCTTTCTTCTTCTTCTTCTTCTTCTTCTTCTTCTTCTTCTTCTTCTTCTTCTTCTTCTTCTTCTTCCTCTTTTTCTTCTTCTTGTTCTTCTTTTTTTTGTATTGGGGATCAAACTCGTAACCTCATGCTTGCCAGGCAGGTACTTATGCCCCTGAGCTGAATCTCTGGCCCTCATTCTTTCATTTTGCACTCCCTTTACTAACAGATGGGAGGCTCTTATCATCACAGGTTAACAAATTGGCTGAAACAGCTTTCTGTTTAGGCTCCTGGTCATTTTGCTCGTGGCCACCTGAATCCCTTCAGAAAATGTGGCTTTGATCGCGTCATGTCCCAGGCACCAAGTCTGCCCTGGCTCTACAGGAGGGTTGCTTTCATTATGTCACATTAGTGTAGAATGAAAATCATCACCTTTTTGATGTCTTTGTGATAGGCACTGTGGTTCTTTATAGTTTTTCTTCAGTTTAATCTAAACTGGTACAAAAAAAATTCCACTAGACTCATTAATAAAAGGACAGGATTTTGGGGGCTGGAGATTTAGGTCAGTGGCATAAGCACCTGCCTTGCAAGCAGGCAGTCGTGAGTTCGATCCCTGGTACCAATAAAAATGAAAAAAAAAAAAAGACAGGATATTTTAGCAACGCCTATTGAATAATACGCTAAATGTGTTTGTAGTCAACTTACCATTAATGTGACAAAATACCTGAGATTCGCAATTTTTAAGGTGTAGTTGTGCTCAATAGTTTTGGAGGGGTCAGTCCTGGATCAGTTGGCCTCTTGCTTCTGGGTCCACAGCAAGGCTGTACATCATAGCGGGCGTAGTTGAAGAGGAAGCCCTCTTCTCATGGTGGGAAGGCGAAAAGGGAGGAAGAGGAAGGGGAAGGGTCCCCTTTTCCCTTTAAGGGTTGGTGCATGTGACCTACCTCGCTCCCACCAGGCTCTGCCGCTTAGAGGTTCTATCACTTGCTGTTGGTTCAGAGGCTGGAAACTAGTATTTCAGTGCTGGGCCCTTGAGGGATGTTCCATGTCCAAACTCTAGCATTATTTATTTTAAAATATATTGGAGGATGCACTGCAAATTCACATCTGCTTCTAAAGTTTCCCTCTGTGTACTATGGATAGTGTCTCTTGAGAAACTAGCTCAACTATTGACAGAGTGACGAAACCAACGGACACCATGGGATACTTATATAAATGACAGCTGCTTGTCACTTGGCTTTATTTTCATAATTTTTTTTTGACATTTCAGTTCGACAGACAGTTCTGCAAAAACCAAATCACGAGTTAGTCTTGCCAGGAAAAGGGACGTACCAGTTAACAGTCCAGCTGCCCACCACTCCGGATGAAGTCCCAGATTCTAAGGAGAAAATTCCAACACGTTTTGTAAGTAAACAAAGGGATCCAGGCATCTGAGCAGAGGAGGTAAAGCATTCATCACAGTGGAGTGAGAAAAGTAGGCTGCACATGCGCAGGAGCAAAGGCAGTGAGGGGCCACATAGAGTGATGAAGAGGGAAGCGCTTTGTTTGATTTTAGACACTTGAAAAGGCAGGATGTGAGAGTCCCCAGGACGGTCAGGGTGGGGGCGGTGAACCTCCGGCACGTGTGCCCTGCGAGCTGTTTGCATCATTGAAAGCTCTAAAAATGTCACCACCACTGGTTTAGGATGTAAATTTTGAATCTGTTGGCCTTGGCTGTTTTGTAATTTGCAGCTTGCTATTTTCTTTTTGCCTTTACATCATCTTGAGGGGACAGTGGTTCGTACTGCAGGTAATCTTTCCTTAACTGTAAGGGAGATTGTCAGATTCTTGTGAGGATTTAGTGCAATGACTGCTTTGAAGACCCGGAACCTTTCTGCTTGTATAGTAAACAGTAAATGTTAAGTGGAAAGACATCATGAGCTAAGCTCTTTGTCTGACTTAGGTTTTACCCCGAGCCCCTGACACTGGGTGCAGAGCTTGGTGCAGGGGTGCATGCTCATAATCCAAGCAAGTGAGACGCTGAGGTAGAAGGATGGTGATTTCTAGGCCAGCCTCAGTTACTTAGGGAGATCCTGTCTCAAAACACAAAAATAAAATCCCAGTTGATGTACATTGGGATTTCTTTTGTTTGCGTCTCATTTTCAACAATGATTATTGTGACTAGTAAGGAGATAAGCTCTGACATGCGGCCCCAGATGCAGTCAAGAGCCCCGTCACTGGAGCTTTCCTGTTTGGGTTTCTATGTTCTCTGCATCTCCAGGGTGATCCTAGGGTCATCTTCTTAATGTAAAGAAATTATTAGCCCTATATTAATGTTACTTTATTGTCTGGGTTTCAGGAATCCAAGACCAAAGAAGATGTCAAAGAACCAGGTAAAATATCAGTTGAAATGACTCTGACCTTCACCAGACAATTTGTTTTGATTAAATAAGACACTTGCGATCAATAAAGTTAGTTGAGAGAGAGAGACAGAGAGACAGAGAGAGAGAAAGAGACAGACAGACAGACAGACAGACACCTGGAGGACCTATCTGTCTTTGTGACATTCACAACACAGAGTTTGCCCACCTAGGAGCTGCCATGCGATGCATGATCCTCATACTTGGGCAATGAGAACTCCTTGAGCTCTCAGAGGTTGGTTCACAAGGATGGGCACAGTTCCCTCTGGAGACAGAAATGTCTTGCAGTTGAGGGTAGAACAGAAGACTCCCGGGGCAGTGGCAATGAACTGAACTCTCAAGCCCACGTGTGCCCAACTGCCCAGTGAGAAACAAGGACAAGCATGTCGTGTTTGTGGACGCCGTGCGTGGTCAGTCAGTCAGCACTGCGCAGTGAGCCCTGTGTGTGCAGACCTGTCCTCTGGACCTGCTTCAGGGAGGCGTGACTTCTCTGTGGGCCACAGCTTCCCTGAGGTGGTGGCCTGTGAGGGAATGTCCCGTCTTCCCAAAGCCAGCAGCTCTTCTGATCTCCTGCTGTAGGAAAAGCCAGCAGACAACTAGATGGCGTGGACTCTGCTGCTGAACACACTATCGTGCCTTAGTCTGTGGTGCTGCCTGATCAAAGCAGCAGCACGTTCACGTGACTAAGCTTGCTGCTAAATGAGAAACTATGCTAAGTGAACCTAGCAAGAAAGAAACAGTGACACAAGTACCCACATCTTTGGGAAAAAGAGATCTGAAAAAAACATTGTCCTGGTCACAAGAATGGTAGTTTCCTGCAGCCTTCTTTTTGTTTATTTGTTGATTTTTAAGTAGCATGAGAATGAGAGCTTCCATTACCTAGAAAAATGACTAATTAGTGGTTAGGAACATGCAGACTGTTTTCACCTGATATGAATTTACAATTCCATTATAGAATCCAATAAGCACCTTTTATAAAAAGCTTAAGATTCTTATGAAATAGGAATCTTCTTGTGTGTTTGGATTAATTCTTGCTTTCCATCTTTCAGGTCTGAAATTGGCTCATTACTGTTTATTCAGATCCCGGTGTTCATTATTGTGATCTCTTAAAGCCTTCTTACTTTCTCAGAAAATGCCTTAACTTCTGTAGAATAAAGCTCAGTTTCAGATGAGGAAGCAGCTATTTGTATATTTATACTTCTACTATTGCATATCCTGGATCTAAAATGTATTTTTTAATTGATTTTATCGGTATACATTTTTTTTTGAATTTTATCTTTTTTTTTATTTAAGAGGAAAAAGAGAAAAACACAAAACAAAACAAAGCAGTGTAAGGTTACACATAATACAGAACTACAAAAAAAAACACATAACAGTAAGAAAATCACCTGTTAATAGATTACATATTATCATCTTGGAAATAGTTGCTCAAATCACAGTATCAAAGAATACAAAGTAGACATTCAAACAGAGAGACTGCAAACAGCTGTGTTCAATGATCCAAAAACATTAATATAGTCAGCTATTTAACACCCCTAAACACACTTGCTGTTATATCCGTTAGAGCTCTTTTTTTTTCCCTCCCTCTCTTTTTTACAACAAAATTTACACATTTTGGATTTTATTACTCCTTAGTTCTTATTACTTTTGGGGGGGGAGAGAATAAAGTCAAATATGGCAAAACAAAGCTGTCAGTCAAAACCAAGGATAGACATAGCACATGATGTAGAACAGAGTACAAGGTTATTAACAATGGTTATCAACGTTGTCTCTTGTTTCCTTAAAAAGAATTGTCTATCTCATTAGATATTATAAAGTTGGACAAAACAGTGGAGAACAAGACCAATAAAACTTAGGCATTGTAAACATTACAGGACTTCCAAAGGAGACAATAGTCAAACCAGAATGGGCATCTTTGTGAATCTTATTGCCTTCAAAGTAGTTGCCTATACCCTCAGACTTGATACTATCGCACAGAATGGAACAGAGTCTAATCAGTCAAAACAAGATCGTGGGAGTATTACAGGACTTCAAAACAAGTAAATAGGAAATCGAAAAGAGTTACTATTATATATCCTAATTTTTTAAATTTTTCCCTTAATTAAAATAAACATAATAAATAACTAAATAATTTTTTTAAAGAATAGTAGTTACCATAGTGTCTGTCTTTTTCCTTGAAATATTTGGATAAAACTTCATATACCATAGCTTCAAATATTTCCATATCAAGAAGCCCAGAATAAAGCCTTTCTAATTAATAAGTGAAAATTTTATAAGGCTTCAAGGCCAAATAATGGGGAATCATGATTACCACATATTTTTATATATTTGAATCATTACTTAGGGAAACTATTCGGTATTCATACATGCAAGATTGATTTATTTCACTTATGAGTATGGTCTCAAGCTGCGCCCATTTATTGATAAATATCTCAATGTGATCCTTCTTTATAGCTGAATAATACTCCATTGTATAGAAATACCACAACTTTTTTATCCATTCCTCAGTTGATGGACACTTGGGTTGTTTCCAAGATCTGGCGATTACAAATTGTGCTGCTATAAACATAGGTGCACATAAATCACTGTGGTATGATGCTTTCAGTTCTTCTGGGAATATGCCTAGAAGTGGGATAGCTGGAATAAATGGGATTTCCAATCCCAACTTTTTGAGAAACCTCCAGACAGACCTCCACAAAGGCTGTACCAGTCTACACTCCCATCAAAAGTGCAGGAGAGTTCCTTTTTCTCCACAGCCTCTCCAGCATTTGTTGTTGTTGGTTTTCATGATCCTGGCCATTCTTTCAGGAGTGAGATGGTATCTCAGTGTGGTTTTAATTTGCATTTCTCTAATGACCAATGATGATGAACATTTTTTCATGTATTTATTTGCCATTTGCATTTCTTCATCTGAGAATTGCATATTCATCTCAGATGCCCATTTTTGGATTGTATCTTTGAATTTTGGAGGTCTGAGTTTTTTTAATTCTTTATATGTTTTAGACAAGAGTCCCTTGTCTGAGAGAGAGTTCACTAAAATCTTTTCCCAGTTTATGGGTTTTCTTTTCACTATGCTGGAGATTTCTTTTGACATGCAGAAACTTTTTAATAAGAAGTGGTCCCAGTTATTGATTCTGGGAAGTATTTCCCGTGCGGTTGGAGTCCTGTTCATGAATTCTCTACCTACTCCTATGTCTCCAAGGTTTCTACCCAATTTGTCTTCCAATAGATTTAGCGTTTCTGTTTTAATATTCAGATCTTTGACCCATTTAGATTTTAATTTAGTACATGGTGATAGACATGGGTCTAGCTTTAGTTTTCGGCAAATGGAGAGCCAGTTTTTCCAGCACCATTTATTAAAGAGACTGTCGTTCTTCCAGTGAACCTGCTTGGCTCCTTTATCAAAGATAAGGTGGTTGAGTGTGTTTGTAGTTGTGGTTGTATCTTCTAATCTATTCCATTGATCTTCAGCTCTGTTTTGATTCCAATACCATGTTGATTTTACTACTGTTGCTTTGTAGTATAATTTGAAGTCAGGGACTGTGATGCCTCCTGCTTTGTCTTTGCTGCTTAGAATTGCTTTTGCGATTCTAGGTCTCTTCTGGTTCCAGATGAAATTTAGGAGTGATTTCTCTAGATCTATAAGGTATGTTGATGATATTTCTATTGGGATTGCATTGAATCTGTATAAGAGTTTTGGGAGAATGGCCATCTTCACAATGTTTGTTCTTCCTATCCATGAGCAAGGGATGTCTTTCCATTTTCTGAGATCATCTTCAATTTCCTTTTTCAGTGTAATATAGTTTTCACTGTATAAGTCTTTCACTTCTTTCGTAAGAGTAATTCCTAAATATTTCATTTTTTTGCTTGCTAATGTGAATAGTCCAGTTTCCCTTATTTCCCTCTCTGTGGTTTTGTTGTTTGTGTATAGGAATGCTATTGATTTCTGAGTATTGATTTTATATCCAGCCACATTACTGAATTTATTTATTGTATCTAAGAGTCTTTCAATGGAGCTTAGGGGGTCTTCTATGTAGAGTATCATGTCATCTGCAAACAATGACAACTTAACTTCTTCTTTTCCTATCTTTACCCCTTTTATTTCTCTTTCTTGCCTAATTGCTCTGGCTAGTACTTCCAGTACTATATTAAATAGGAGTGGTGATAAAGGACATCCTTGTCTTGTGCCTGATTTTAAAGTAAAAGCTTTCAATTTTTGGCCATTTAGTATGATGCTGGCTGTTGGTTTGTCATAAATGGCCTTTATTATATTGAGGTAAAGACCATCTATTCCAATTTTCTGTAGAGTTGTTATCATGAATAAATGTTGGACCTTATCGAAGGCTTTTTCTGCATCTATAGAAATGATCATGTGATTCTTATTTTTGGCTTTATTGATATGGTGGATTACATTTATTGATTTGCGTATGTTGAACCATCCTTGCATTCCTGGGATGAATCCCACTTGGTCATGATGTATAATCTTCTTGATGATTTGCTGGATCCTATTTGCCAATATTTTATTGAGGATTTTTGCATCTGTGTTCATTAGGGAGATCGGTCTATAGTTCTCTTTTTTAGTTGGGTCTTTCTCAGGTTTTGGTACTAGAGTAATATTTGCTTCCAGGAATGACTTAGGAAGGATTGCTTCCCTTTCAATTTCATTGAATAGTTTGAGGAGTGTCGGCATTAGGTCTTCTTTGTATTTCTTGTAGAATTCTGCAGTGAATCCATCTGGGCCTGGGCTCTTCTTGGTGGGTAAGGACTTAATTACATTTTCAATTTCAGTAACTGAGATTGGGTTATTCAACAATTTTACATCCTCTTGATCTAGCTTTGGCACTTTATATGCTTCTAAGAAACTGTCTATTTCTTCTGTGTTATCAAACTTTTGAGAGTAGAGGTTTTCGAAATAGGTGTTGATGATCTTCTGTATTTCTATTGGGTCTGTAGTGACTTCTCCTTTTTCATTT